GCCCACTCTATAAACCAAGTTATGTTATACTGGATCTGCGCTACAAAACGATATCTAAAGTTCCCAGACCTATTCCCTTTAAATGGGTAAGAAATTCACATTTCTGAACAACTCTCAAGCAAAAATGCTAGTTCGGCCGATTGGCGAACTGTCACTCTGTCCCTACTTGGCAAACTGTTTATATTATATACCCACTGAGCGCGCTCAACTGAGCATGTTTAAAATTTCGGTGCATTTTAACTGAAGAATTTTGGTTGCGATGCGTTTTCCCAGTTAATAAGGCATAGAAAAAATTCGAACTTCGTCGATAGCGGTCATTGCAACATTTCAGGTGGTATTGATTTTATTTTTTGTTTCTCGTTCACGTTCACTTAAACGATGGAAAGCATTGACCGAAGTCTGCTGGAGGTTCTTCGACGCAAAGCATCCGGGACAGTGGCAGTTTTTGAAAGAAATGTAATTTTTAACAAGATTTTTTGGATTTTGTTAACCGTTTTTTTTGGAGAATATAAAATGTTCGGGCTGTATTTGTCTTTTCGGCCGCGACATTATTGAAATTTTTCAAATACTTTTCGGAAAAAAGTTTCAGTTGATTAGATTAAAATGGGAACATTGTGTTAACGAACGGGAGCGATGCTTTAAGCGTCAGCATAAACTCTGACTGATCCTTCTCCTTGTGGCTCGAACTCCAGTGTGGACTGGGGTTGAACCGCAATCCGAGAGTAAATCTCATGCTAAGTCACTTTATCANCTCGAACTCCAGTGTGGACTGGGGTTGAACCGCAATCCGAGAGTAAATCTCATGCTAAGTCACTTTATCAGCCTAAGCCAAAAGCAGGGGTCGGTCACAGCTTGGGGTCTGTGTGTAACCTGGGCCGTCTTCATGAACACAAGATTAATAAAAGAATTTTTCAGGAATTTTATTCGTGCTATGGAGACGACGCCTTCTTGGTGGCAAATGAAATTTTCTTAAGTGAAGTTGGCTTGCGCCGTGTACAAATTGGTTGGTAGAACTTTTGTGTTGTCTTTTAACTCCGTGAAATTACCTAAAGTGGTGTTGCTGCTTTATTACGAATAATCGTTCTGTTGCCGACGTAATGAATGAAAAGAGAATTCCATTAATTTTTAAAACAAATGTCTAATTGGATGAATAACACTTCTGGTTCAGTGTAGTCTAAGAATCCTGACCAGCAGTGAAGATTTCTAAATAGGATTATCTCACTTTAGTACTCAAAATGACGTACTTGTATTAGCCAGTGAAAGCAGTTGAGTTTAAAGATCATTAATGGAAACTAATATTTTGATAGTTCGTTGTGATTCAGTCATTTCGAGTTTTATTTCAGGACTCACCGAACTGACGTATCATATATTAAATAGTGGCCAGTACACAAGAGTCATTCGCGATGTACTTCTAAAGTTGCATTATCGACTTGAGGTATATGTGGCCAGTGAGGGTGAATGGAAACTGAAAGCTAAGGTTCATATTTTGAATGGCTTCATTCTTACCAATTAATTTGTAGCGAAATTAAAAAATATTATTTCATTAATGTTATCGTTGATGATTTTAAGTAACGATCCTAGTAATGAACTTCCAAATAGGAGTTATTCTTGATATTCATTATTTTTCAAGGTTGGTGATGCAGTTCAAAAATGTACTGAATAATTCATTGATAATGTCGAAGAAATTCTTTCAAAAAAATTGGCATTCTAAAATTATTGATTCATTTTGATCGTACGGTTTAATGAAAATATGATGTGAGGTTGACAAGTTTCACAGGGATCCTTGGGATGCTTGGGTGATTTTGAAGAAGTAATTGGCGATAGCATTGAGTTGAGTGAGCTGTCGACGGTGATGGCACTGCTGTATACTGTTGAACATAGTTGTGGCGAGGTTGGTTGTTTTATAGTTTGTTGAAGCATGCCATTGGTGACTGTTAGTAGCATTAACAACAAAGTGTTCATCTTAATGTTATTATTCAATATTTTGATATTGTCATCTAATGAAATGCCAAAATTGAATCATATTTATATCTGTCACAACAAGAATCCTTATGTCTTTGGTTGATTGTCCATAAACCGGACCAATATTTTCAGAATCGTGTATCAGTTGCATTTTGTAATCTTCCAGAATTGCGCATGACTATCGCCGAATTCTCAGATACGGAGCACTTTTCAAATTTAGAGGTTACTGATTTGAATTATCATTTTGTTGCAATCAAGAATGAATAATTTTTACATGATAGTTTGAGGATATACGTTTCACGTGATATTTGAAACGAGATGTTATACCCGATACTTTTTATGCTTTCAAACGAGAGAATAGATACTTCGTTATGTTGGGTTTTTTCTCGAGGAATAAAAAGTTGACACTATTTCTATAGGGTCCATATTCTCATTGACAATGAGTTTGTTCATGAATAGTCACAGGGATTTCATTTCTTGATGTAACTGTCATGTTTCTCAGGTAGTTTTTGAATACTGATTTTATTTTCGTCTCATCTGAGGGAGATTTAAAAAAAANGTCATTCAAATGTTTCGATACTATCATTATTCAGTGATATTCTCATTATATTGTTGCTGTACTTGAATGAAGCAGATTCGGTTGCTAAATTCGTGTGATTGGGGATATTTATTGTATTGATGATCAGCAGTGTTGTTTTGGATCTTAAATGATGCAAGAATTCGTTCGTGTCATAAACGATGACTTTTATCCTCAGACGCACACATAAGTGAACAGCAGTTGCAATGTTTATCGGCGCTATCACATTATTTGCATATCACTGATGACATCGATACATATGAAGGGCAGTTTCAATTGGTCGATTATAAATCTGCCGGCTTTATGTATCTGGATATGGCTGCTGTTAAAGCATTGGAACTGTTCTCATTGAGTCGTGACGAAGGTTCGGTTTCAAAATGTTTATTCGTTGTGCAAATCGATGAATGTCATTCTATGGAACCGTACGGTTGTTATTATCTTCAGATGCTGTTGTTGGACAATCTGGTACATTATTCGAATTGATCAATAAATGTAGAACATCACAAGGACAACGATTATTACGTTAGTCAATCCTTTTGAATTATCTTTTTGAAGGAAATTTATTATGTTCGTGTTTCTTGTTGCATGAATCTCTGAGCGCTGAGTTAACCGTTGATGATACGAGGTAAGTAGAGATGAACAGTTGTTTGACAGTGTTGTTATCCTAGGTGATTGGATACGTCGACCGTTATTCGATTTACGTCGGATTAATGAACGCTTGGATGCAGTCGAGGCGTTGTGTGAGGTTAGTGGTGCACGAGAAACACTTTATGAGGATCTGCTGAGGAGAGTTCCGGATGTTGCATCGTTGTCCAGGAAACTTTTGCAAAAAAAGGCATCACTTCAGGTTTGATTCGCATCTATTCTATTGCTGCTTCAAAAATTTCATAATTGAAGAGTAATTCCCATCATTAGCCAACAGCTCATGGAAACATTTAAATCGATGATAGAAGAGCAATGGTTCCACTGAAATGACTCAAATTTAGAATATCCACACGGATAAGCCATCTTACCTGTATGATCTCGTAATGAAATCATTCATTGTTAGTTCATTTCATCAATCATAGTATATTTTAAGCATTGTTACCGTCTCTATCAACTTATTCGCCTCCTGAAGCGATTTGAGTGCGTGTTCAGCGAAGTTCATGACTCATGCGATCAGTTTGCCCCAGCTGTCAATGATCTTTGCTTGGTGAGTTTACCTTTCATATTGAATGATCACTACAGTTTTTATTGAGTTGAAGCTTTCCGAAAATCATTCGTATCAATTTCAGGAACCGATTCGTTTAGCGATACTGCAGTTCGATAAGTTCAGCGCATTGATTGAAACGACCGTTGATGTGGAGTATTTTGAAAATTCAGGGTCATATCGTGTTAGACCGGATATTGACAAGGAATTGATGGAGATTTCAAATACAATGAAAAGTATCGAAAAACAATGCGAAAAAGAACTTGATAAGGTCATTTGATCATTTGGTATTTTGATTTGATTTTTACCAGACACTCTTCATTTTGTTGATTTATTTCATATTGATTTGTATAATTCAAGTAGATATATTGTTGATTTTGTGCGATGAAAGAATTTGGTGTAGATACGCATTGTTTTAATAAATCAGTTCCTTCGGAATTCTACGTTGGTTGATTGCAGATCAGTGGCAAATTCGCGGAATCCGTGAAACTTGATTCCAACTCTCAGCACGGTTTCTTCTTTCGTGTTACCCTGAAGGTATGCAAGTTTGTTCCATCATATTCAGTCTCATTGACGCTTTCGATTCATTTTCTGAACAAACGATTTTTGTTCTCTGAGGAAGATGNNNNTTTTTTTCTTATTTCACCGAAACATTTCACTAACGCTTGGCAAGCCCAGTGTGAATATTGTTTGAACCTGTCAAGTGTGCATAAATGAAATAATATCCCAGAGAATATAACAATCTTCTCTTTATGTTATCATTTTATTCACTGCTATCTTTATTTTGTGACTCATCACATAATAATTATCGTTTTGCATTGAACAAGATTATCTAGTTGCTTCGTGCCAAAAGGGAATACTGTGAATGTTTACTGCATACCGTATCAGTACACTAATTTTTGCCCTTGTAAAATCAGTAATCTTCTGTTCAAAAATAATCTCATTTGCAGCCGGATATACTCCTGCCCTGCAACAACTGTCTGATTGCTTATCTGTGGTTGATGTTTTGGTGGCCTTCGCCACTCTTGCTGCTGTATCACCGTTTCCTTATACAAGACCTGAATTGCTTGATAAAGGTATTTACGTTTTTGTTCTGGAATTTTTGACATGGTTTTACGATGAATGGATGGTCAAGGTAGGTGACCGTGGGTGATATCAGTGTGATGTAAATTGGAACAGAATTTTGCTCGAATAAAGTGAAATGTGTTTGAGTGTATAATTAAGATCCAACTCGGACATGGATCTGTATTTGATAAAATTTTCAGAATCTAAAACACTGATATTAAAGAATTGTCGTCATCCGGTTATTGAAGCGCTTCCAGAAGCGCCACCGTTTATTCCCAACGACGTGATTATGGGCGATGAATCGGAAGGTAACACTTTATCAGATGAACATATTTTGAAACTTTTTTCTTATTTTAAGATCGTGAGCTGAACAGAAAGATCAGCCTTGATATTGGTTTATCAAATGTTTTAGTCATCAAACAGAAGTCTTTAGTTATGAGGGATATTGCGCAAAAAATGTCAAGTAATCCATCCAGCTTTATGTTCAATGCCTATCGTCTTTATATTCAACGTTGCCTCAATTTCCAAGAACTTGAGCTGAAATTTATTTTCTTCAAAAGTTGCTTTCAGTGTTTCTGAACGAGTACGTAAATAAGTCATTCTTTTTAGCGGAAGTAACTCTTACGAAGGAAATTTTTAGATAAAACTCGATTTCTGCTGCTATCGGGCGCTAATATGGGTGGTAAGAGTACATACCTACGGTCATGTGCGCTTACTGTTCTGATGGGTCAAATGGGGTGTTTGGTGCCTTGCGATTCTGCTCGTTTCTCGCTTATTGATGGAATTCACACAAGGTTTCAGCAGTTTTTCTATCGTACTGGTGAACACATTTTCACAGTTTTTTGTCCATTTTAACAATGTTTCATTGTACAATGATGCATTGTAAATGCCTATTCTCGTTTAGAATCGGCAGCTGTGATTATCAGTGTAAAGGTGTTTCAACGTTTATGGCTGAAATGATCGACAGTGCGACAATTCTTGAGGTGAACTGTTTTGTAATTTCTTATTGTTGTTATTTCTTTTTTAATTAGAAATCATGAGCAAATGTCGTTTCAAACTTTCTGAATAATATTTTGGTGGAATCGCTTTGAATATTGTTAGAAACATTCATAAGTACCTCAAATTAAATGAGAAAGTGAAACATATCTCCTTCCCCCCTTCCCCCCCCCCCTCCAACACTGTTGGAGAAATACGTTATATGCTATTACTACCAAGCAAATGTGTTGTATCAAGTTGTTGAAAATAAGTGTAAATCCTCGAAATTCAAGACTGCGACACAGTATTCTCTCGTGATAATCGATGAACTGGGTAGAGGTACATCGACGTACGACGGATTTGGATTGGCGTGGGCAATTGCTGAGTTAGGATTTCACTTTGATTTGCGTATTCAGTCTGAAATTGTGCGACCGAAAATTTTAAATTATTTTTCCTTATTTCTACTCTTTTCATATTCCGATTTATTTGTACTACAAAATGTCAACTCTTATTCAACCTATATCAAGCTCGTATTGGAGCGATTGTATGTGCTGTGTTCTTCTTTTTTCTAGTGAAAGTCTATTGAAAAATTAAGCCTTTAAAGGAAATTTGGTTTGTTACAGCGATCTTCTATCGCGAGTTCAATGTTTTTGTGTATTCGCAACACATTTCCATGAGATGTGCACATTGGTCGAGCGATATCCGTCAACGGTGCGTAATATTCGTGTTGAAACACAAATCAACGAGGCTGGTGACTTGGTGTTACTTTACAAAGTTGTGCCCGGTGTTGCAGAACGTTCATTTGGTATAAATACAGCCAAATTAGTTGGATTGTCCGCGAATGTTATTCAGGTATTTGTGTAGTTATTTATGATCTAATCGTAAGACTGCTGTCTGTTTGAGACCTATCAGTGTGAATGTTTCTCACGCTTCTGCGCTTGCTGTCCTCTTCGGTATATCACAAGCCACGATCCCCTGTCTTTTCTAACGGTGCATTTGACTGCCATTCCTCTCTCCTCTCTAACAGTCCAAACGACACTCGGAAAGACCCCGAAGAATAATCGACTCAGTGAATCAAAAGTTTACCACCACAAATTTATTGGTGTTACCAAAGGATCAAACAAGCATTTTGATATCATTATTCTACAGTTCTGGAAAAGATAAGGAAAAATACCGATCAATAGTCACTTGCTAGTCTCTTCTTCTTCTGTTGACGTCTCGAATTTTTTTCGTTGGTCTACACGACTCAGAATATTTCGTCAGTTCATTGTCAGTTTCACTGCAAATCATTGATTTTAAAGATATTCTAAATAAGTCAATCAAGATTCTGCAAAATGCTCTGAATATGCTAACAAACACTAACTGCGCATTCAGTCTTTGTCACATTTCGAATCGGTTGTGGTGTAAAGTGAATGAATGCAACGTTTTCAAATCTTGCATCTTTCAGACTGCAAATGACATGCTTCAAAAATTGGAATGTGGAAAAATGGACAGTGGAAATGATGAAGAAAAAGATATCATCGATAAGTTGAAAACTCTCGAAGGCGAGCAACTTCGCGAGGCTATTCTAGCATTGGCATCTTGATAGTATATGGGGATAGAATTGTTTATATATATNATATATATATGCACATGATCCGGCTTCATTATTTGTTTCGTTTAAGAAATGATTGCTCGAAAAATTTTTAATTTGATCAGCGAAATCTTTGTTGAAAATTCAGCCTGAAACTTGAACAATTGCTCATTAATGCTCTTGTTGTTACATGCTGTACTGTTGTTTCTTGAATTTTGAACTCTCATTTTGAATTATTCGTGAGAGAAATTGTTAATCTATTCGTGAGAATTTTGTTTGTCTAGCGATGTTTGCTTGTACAGTCATTCCAACTGGTTATCATTTTGGAAATTTCTTCACTGATTTTTGATCGATGATATTTTGTGATCTCTCATTATACTCTTGCAAGACAACTGCTCATGGAACTTGTTTCTATTTTCTGAAATTTGACTCCGTGTATGTTTGTGTCACTGATTTAATAGTGAAATGATTAGAGCACTCATTGAAGTTTCGTTTGAAAAGTTTGATACTTTGAAAGTTGCATCAAAATTTGCAATGTCTTTATGTGCGGTTGTGTTTGTTGTTTACGTGCTACAGTAAATTTTGTTGAGTGACCTTTCAATGGTTACAATATTTTTGAGTCATTTCAAACTGATACCCAATTTTAGATGAGTTCATGCCCTCAACAGACGATGTATAGAAAAAGTTCAGCGTATGGAAATTTGATGTTTGAAAATGTAAACAGTAATTTCAATCAAAACTGCATTGGCGATTCATTAAGTTACAGTCTCAGTAAAGTGATGACGAATGCACTGACTTGTTTTCATTTGCTTTTAAGCCAGTTCTACATTAATGCTTATAAGCCGTGTTAACCTGCTACTTGCATAGATTTCTGAAATATTGTAGCGGGATGACCGTGTCACTTCACTTCAGAATATTCAAGCTCGATTGTTTCTTGTTTGAGAAACCCGCTTCATCCGAGAAAAGAGCTCGTTTTCTTTTCTTCAAAACATAAAGAATGTGTTTCGACCACATTCAGTGTCACGAACGAGTGTTGATAAAATGCTTCGGATAGTTTATCAGAGACTACTGCTGATGGAAAGCAAATACCAATAAGTACAACTTGTCGGATTCGTGGAAAGAAAATCAGCGGTTCTATCAATCCGAGCAATTTGATCAACTAAAACAAACTTATTCAAAAATTGTTTGCGACTGAGAAATCATTAATCAGATAAAGTATTTTGATAATCAGGTGCAAGTGACCGCTGCCTGGCATGACAGTCACTGAAGTAATGGAATGATGATGTGGTGGATTTAATCGTTGATCAACGATGGCGATCGGGTCGGAGACGTTCGTCATAATTTAGATTTGGTCGTAATTCAGACCACAGTTACGAACCATCGCAAAACATGCACATTTCTGCATGTGTTATGCATAAATGAAGATGTTTTGCTGTGGACGCGTCACTTTCAGCAAAACTTGAATAACAGCCCAACTTCAATGGCAGTGTACACATAGCAGTGAAGCCTTGTCAATCATGACGTGACAAACAACACACACAATGTATTGATAGAGTTTGAAACGCGCTTGACATTTCGACAACAAGACCGACAAATAATGAAGACTAAAAGATATTCACGTATTTTCAGGGTTCTGAAGAAATTATGGCATCCAGAGCATTAAGCAGCGCACAGCACATTTGAATTAATGAATTTCGAAGCGTGAGTGATCGTGCGTAGATACTATGCAATGAGCTCAGTCTGAAAGAACAACGAAGTCTATCAATCCAGTTCAAATGGCTAATATGTCATTTTTATCATTTTGAAACAGTTTTGCTGCAGAACTTTTCTACTTTGACCGCTTCTAACAAAACAATTTTTCCGAAATGCCTCGTCGTAAATACAAATCATCGAAAGTCGGCAAATACCTATAGTTTCAATTCAGTATTGGTTTGTGTTGAGCCCTTTCAGATTGATAAAGAATACTTATATCCTCACACAAACAGTTGCACATGTGTAAATAACTCGAAAATTGATGCATGAAAAATTTATGATCATATGGTGTCAGTGTTCCTGTAATATGGAGAGGGTAATAATGATATTTCTCTGGAATTGCGAATAGCTCTTTTTATCCACATCAACAACAGATGCGATTTTCCGATGGCTCATAATCGCTTCCTTATTCACCATCGGTTCAATGACTGTGAATGCTAACATCGGTATCGTACATATAATGCCGTTAATATGTACACGCACACATTATACTTACAAGAGATATTGCAAATTTCAATATCACCCTGAAAATCTATTGCAAATTCTATTGCACAATCTATCTGTTGTATTTTACTTCATGTTGATTCCGTATTGTCCTCTGTTATTTAGATGGTTGACTTCTGCCAGATAAGGGAATACGAAATGTAATAGTTGGTTGCTGCATAGACGTCTTTGTTAGATCTGAGATTCATTGGTTGGCTTTTCGAAGAGACTGTTCTTATTTCATTAAGCACTTGTTGCTCACAAGCTTTAATCTTAACTTCTAAGTGAGACTACTGACTCAAATAATGGCATTTTAATGATATATTTGAGTTTTATTCATCAAAATTGGGGAAATCCGTGAGCCCCATATGCGTATAGCATCAAGTATGGATGTAATTCAGCATCAGTCACTCGAATTAGATATAAGTTCAGCTTCAGGTTGTATCTTGAGCCTACACTAAGGCCTTTGCTTAGATTTAGGTTTACAAGTGGTTGAAATATCGACTTAAATCCATTCTAAGTTTCGGAAAGGAACCTCGGAAAAGTGGAATCCAAGCAGTCTTTCGTTTGGTTTGTTTGGCGAGAAATCAATTTTCATCCATATGATGAAAATTTGTTTGCCAAAAGAAACGAATATTATTTGTTCGAATCATTGCCATGGAAATTTAATCTGTTTAGGGATGATGAATGTTAATTCGTTCGAAACTGATAGTTTCAAATGGGGAATTTCAATTAAGAGATCATTGCAAAGAAAAGCGTGTTTGAATATGATCTTATGAAGCATGAATCAGTTCGAAATCACTTCGCTTGATCGTTATCAGTTCTGCGGTCACTTCGTGATGATCGTTACAGAGCATGGACGTTGCGAACGGCAAAGATCAAGTAATATCTGCAAGTGCTTTTGGAGGCCCAGGAATAAGTGGATATTGACTGAGAATTCAAGTCTAATTTGTTCAGTTGAAGCCTCTACTTCAACTTCTATGGAACGTTGAAACAACATTTTTGATTGTTTATGGTGTACTTAAAATGCACTAACGATTCGATCCGGCGCCTTATCTCATTCCATTCGATTTTGTCTTATATCAGCTCGTATCCGTGATGAATTGATAGAATTCTTCTGCGCAGTTGTTTCTATTTGGAAGCTAAGAAGTCCTTGTCTAGCAATTAGTAAAAAATCTGGCAGGAATGGGCTTGAAGTGAACGAAGAGATCTTCACAAAACGAGATGCGTCCCTTTCTCGACAGAACTAATCTAGTGTGTCGGTCTGTTTCATGGGAACAACGTAAACAAACACAAGCGCCCAGTATGGGAGATGCGTCCCTTATTGTTGAAAAAGAATCCAAGTTGCTGGCCAATAAGTTATTGTGTTCACTGTATTGAAATTCGAAGGTTTAATCACACTCAATTAAAGTTATCAGAATTAATGTCGATGGCTTATCCACTGATCTTGACATGTTTGTGATGAGGAGGAGGATGAGAAAGAGAGGACAAGAAGAAGGTAGAGCACAAACAATAACCTCAACAACAATGAAATAGCAATAATAATGATAATAATGACGATAATGAAAACAACAACAGCGACAGAAGGTAAATTGTTTCGTGGACACTGAGAAGAAAAAGGAATCAATAGAAAAAGTACAACGGGGTGCGCAATTGAATTGTTCGAAAGGAGATGAGTCGAGAAGAGGCGAGATGAGACGGAACGAGCATTGGAAAATAGTTGAACGAATATGATGCTACAAGTGGAACGATTCGATAACGACGACAAATAAGCATCCCTCTCGGCGACCATTCAATGCATCCATGCGTCGTCTATCTATTGATTGCTATTTAGCTAAACTGAAGCAGCAGCAGCAGCCTAATACTGGAATGAATGAGAAGCAAGCCTAAAGAAGCAGTAAAGGAGGAGAGTAGAAAAGGTGGCAACAAAAGAGTGTGAAAGGAATGTTTTCAGAGCGACTATGCTGGTAAAGCAATCGCAAGCAGCAGCATCCATGCATGATCAGCGTGTGCTCATGCTACTGCATCAATTGAAGACCACAACTGATCTCCACTAGAAGACCGTCCTCACATAGACCACCACTCATACTACTCCAAAAGCATGATCACTACTCTACGAGCATGATCACTAGCGAATAGCGGTGCTACTGAAGCAACCACTTCATATTTTTCGATTAATTACGATCCAATAAAACGATAATTGGTAAAAGACGAGTATTACTGTATTGTTGCAGTTAATTTCAGGTGGAAGGTAGAGGAGTGAATGCTGAGTTGATCATAAGTGGTGATGATCGTGTTTCGTTAGGCAGTATTATTGAGCAGTATGTGCTTGTCGTGCGTCACTCGTCTCGCCTAATGCTCTTCATGTTCACTGCTACTGTTGGCTGATTGACGAAGAAGATGCTGTTGGTGATGCTGATCTACGGCTACTGCTATCCTTCTTCTTATTCGTACTCTTAAAACTGCTTCAAGTGCCTCACTTCTCTATCTTATCGCCATTTTTATCAGGTAAATTCTTTGTTCTTAATTCGTTTCGTTTTTTCATTTATCCAATAAGTCATCTCTCGTTTTTTTTCCCAACAAATCTTCAATCGTTCACATCATCTCAACAAATCATCAGCCGAATCAATTGGCTGCGTCGTCATTACTTTGCTTCTTCTGCTCTGGTCTTGTTTATTCCTCTGTCGTTTCGATGAAAGTTCACTTCTCCTTACGTTTATCCGCTGGTCATAACGATCCATGCTGTCCAGTGTCTACACGTTCACCTCTCAATAACATCGCATCCGATTAAAAATATTCAGAATCTATGAAATGTTCACGTTGCATTCATTCTCTTTTAATAATATTTGCACACTCGCACACATTTTGCTGCAGAAAGTAATTCAGAGCGTAGGGATGAATTACGGGATATTTCATCGTATTCGCGAATAACGATTGGATATAATTGCGCAGTTTATTTGTTTGCCTCTGATCAAATTGATGCTCAGATCGACGAAGTATCCCCAGGCGAAGTTTTTAAGTAATTCAAAACGATGGCGACTTATCTGAAGCGATGTTCATTTCATCAGTTCATTGCTGATCGTTGTCTTTCCAAGTTTCGCTTTTTCCCAACATTTTCGATCAGTGTACCAAAAAATTATCACCTTTACTCATAATTGTCCTGAACTTTTCTGCTCAATAATTTTCTCGATCTATCTTACTACTTGTAATCACTCAGAAAGTGGATCAGCAGTATTTCTCAACAAAAAGGTCAGCCTACTGAGTCCAGTTAATGACCGTATGCATTATGCATAAGGTCATTAATTACGATCGAATCGAATGAATATTATGTATTGAAATCTTGCATTTCCATTTTTTGTCGTTATATCATGATAATAACTCAAAAACTGAATTGCACTTTGCATATTGCATTGAATTCCATATTGCACTTTGCGTGTATCTTTATTTTTACAACTTCTCAATCACAATTTCGCTTTCTTTCAATGAAAGTATGGATGGAATTTGGTTTAATGACAATTTTGCTGGTAATCATTTGTGTGATTTGGTTGAATAAACTTTATGAACACATACGAGTAGCTTAGCGAAAGAAGCAAAATTGAAAAGGTGAATAGACGACCTGTGTGGCGTTTGATTTGACTTATAGTGACACCATTCATTTACGTCGTTAATGAAAGCGTTCAAGTGTAATCATTAGCGGTTATTCATGAATTTTGATTTAGTAGAGCATTGTTCGAGTATCTCATGAGTAAGGGTAGCAGATGGCATTAGCACTGCTAAAACGCCTCTAACAGTCAGCGTTAACGCTGCTAAAGGCTTAGGCCCAATCATTAACAATTCTACCAGTAAGCTTTAACACTAACATTTCTAGCAACGGTTTTAACTGTAATCGTTAACACTTCTAACAATAAGCGCAACTTACCGTCACTTGTCGTCTGATCCGAAAAAGGATGAAACGTTTGGAATTTAGTAGTTCAATACTAGGTAGAAGTGATGTTGGAAACCGCAAGAATTTTTGTGGGGGTCCTGACCGCAAGCCCCGTCGGAGGCCTCCGATTTTCGGGGGACCCGCGAGGCAAAATTTGAGCATTGGTCAGTTGTCGACCTGTGGTAATCGCAGTTCGGTTTGCCGAGGCCGCCAACCCTTGCGGTTGTGGTCTATCATGGAATCGTGCGAGAATGATTTTCGGTTTTTCTTAACGAATCATTATCCTCTTGCTGAAATGTAAATTGTTTACGACATTTGAACTGGCTTGTGAATAATAGTAATAATAGCAGCAATTACCTTGATTAATATTATTACAAAGTTGTAAAGAGTGTAATGTGGTGGTCCTCCTCCCTCAACTGTTCAAAGCAAAGGTGATTTGTTGGTGTAAAATTTTGAAGTTTACTTCATTCAACGACATTGCACTCGTTTTGAACAAGAGTACACCATTAATTCTCATTAACGTCTTTGATTCATTGATCCAATTTGATTGACTAGTTTTCTGGTTATCGTTATCCTCAAAAGTGAAATGTGTATATCAATTCAGTGATGTTTCAATTATGGAGGATGGTCTTAATAAAATTTTTAGCATTTTAGACTGTCGAAAGGCTTCTGAATTATCGAATCTCACGTATCACTGTATGGTTATTATATATTTCTGCTAAACTAAATTATATAAGTCACGGAAATATCACTATTTGATTCATTTTATGTGTTATTGCATCACTAACCTTGCGTGATCTCACATGTGATTCATTCAGTTTCCTGACGGTATCCCCAAATTATCAAATATCATACCAACTTATCAAAATTCCGATCGCAGAGAAGACAGGTAATGCGAAACTTTTTTCATATTTTACAAGTAATTATATTCATTAACAGTTAGAGGAAGTCACTGAACCGTTCATTCAGCTTATTTTGGAACATTTTATATTGCGATAATGAATATTGAACACCAATTTGAAAGCACTGTTATTATCATGATAATTAATATTATTATCAGTGGAATGCTTGCGATGGTAGATACATCAGCGTTGACGGCAGAGGCGTTGGCTAGAGCTGCTGTTATCTTATCTGTTGGATTGTTGCTCATCTTTTCTGCGTTAATCTCCATTACCGTAACTCTTTGCAACGAAGCACTGCGTGATGTAATTGGATATTACATGGTCAGTTTGACTGCTCTCTTAAACTAAATCCATTGTGGCGTATCTGAAGAAAACGTTCATCTCGTCGTGATCTTGATTCATTTCTTTTGATATACTCTTCCGTTGCATATGTCNCATATGTCGTCAGCACACTATACTTTTAGTTATTTATAGAAAGAGATGGATACAAGTTGAGATAAATATTAACGAAATCGATTCGCGAATAGAAATTAGCGAATCACATAAAAATGGCAAAAACATTAGATTGAATGTGCAAATTAAAGTATCCATCAACAATTACGCATGCCTCATTCAATACGAATATACGTTCATTCAAATAATGTGAGCAAATAATCGAGAACACATTAAAATAATCGGTTGAATTATTATAACAGTATCGTTAGCCTTCAATACGTTTCATCAATCGAATCTTCGTGGCTAATCCTATATGAATTACGAATTTCACGCTCGATTGAAAATTCAACGAAGGAAATTGTCTTCGCAAATACCCCAAAATTGCTTCACTTTGAAGTATTACAGTACATCATCATTCCGTTGATATATCCCACGTTATTGAAGTATAAAATCTGAGGCAAGTGGGACGGACGGGTTTGAGAGTTATTGTCCTTCCGGTCTCACATGAGCTGTTCTTCTGTTCGGCTGCTGAGAATGAAAACTGTAAAGTAGATATTTAGGGATACTTTGAAGTGGGTGTAATAGTGATTTACATGACATGATCATTAAGCATTAATCAATCGAATTAAGGTATCGCTGTCGGCAGTTGATCTGATGTGTTCAGTGTTAATCGTGCCAACAAGTATGTATAGTGCATTATCACCAGATTGGCATTTTATGGGTGATAATTCATTATTATGCAAATGTTCGGTTTACTTAGAAGTTGTTCTGTTCGCGAACACTGCGTACACATTTGCGTGGATCGGTGTTGATCGATATGCTGCTCTCATGAAACCTCAAAGGTTCTCATTTCGTTTATTCCTTATAAGTGAAGCCATCGCATCGCCTGCGGTCACACTATTTGTCATATTCACATTTCGATGACAATCAATAGCTGTCCGGGAATAACTATATAAATTGGTCTCTGTTTGACCAAATTTAACGAGCAATGAAAATTTTGAATTTGTCACGAGTATTTCACACTGTGTCACATTTTCGACTTCAATTTACTGAACGGAAACCTTTGTTGAATGTTACGTTGGTTTCGATTAGAAGTAGCCGCAAGACCAATCCGTTATTTGATCTATTGAAGGATTCAAGCCTGAGCTTAAGTTTATATTTGGATTTACCTTTAGGCTTAAAAAGGATTAATTTACAACTGCGTTACTTTTGGTACTATAGTTGCTTCTACATGTAAACTGCATCCTATCAGAAAATCCACTTCAAATTCATGAATAAAATTCTCTAATAAATGCCCTTCGAAGAGAATAATCCAATATTTAGGCCATCAAATGAGATTCTTTTCGAACAGCGAAACTCCAGCTCTGTTGCGGGAGCAGTTTCCAACAATTCACTCTTGTGGTATCGAAAAAAAAGAAGCGTTAAATTTTTCTGACGTTGCATCGAATGTCGTCACAAATCTGAATTGATTTATTTGAGATATTCATTTTGTTTTGAAGTAAAGCAATTGTGCATTGATCGATTTATTGATGGTTATTTATCGCTTAAATTGTGGTATCCACATTGCATCATTGTCAACAGGAAGCCCACTGATATTGATGCAAATATTCGACTGCTCTTTGATAAGTGCTCATAAATTTTAGATATGAAACTGAGCAAACACTGACACGATGTAAATGTTGGATTGTATTCAGCTGGCTCACCGCAATTCTACTCTCATTACCGATTGTAGTCGCTCGTATGCAGGTGAATGCCTCGGATTTACTCTTTTTTAAGGCGTTCACATATTTTTCAAATCTTATCACTAGCGTATCATACGACATGACACGAATCCAGAAAACTGTTTTTATCAACGTATTTCCACACCACAATCGTTCGGAATTTTTACAATGAGTGAAAGAGAATGACAAAATCTTGATTTTGCTTACGTTTGGATTTATAATAATAAGTGAATTATGAGCTATTGAGGTGATCGTTGGTCAACAATCATACGATTTATTGATTCAACAAATGAAATCTTGTCAAAATTACCACAAAAACACAATTTTAAATACGAATCTGCGTTTATTGATACGCAATTCAAAAATAGTTGTAATTTTATTAGTTGCGTTGGACGGTTATTCGATGTGTGTATAAGTAGAGGCGTGTGTTTGTATGGGTATGCATATCGAGTAGTATGAATAAGGATGACGACATGCAGTAAATAAGCTTAGAATCAGTCTTAATCTGACGCTTTTTGGATTTACAGCGTGAAACAATTATGTTAATGGGTGTACACATTCTGTTATTTATTATAAGAGATGACAATGCATCTAAAACCAAAATCCATAAATAGCTTTATTGCAATTTCATAAGTTCAAAGGTACTACTTAGATTTTCAAGTTGAACAACTTCACGATGACTTTCCATATTATGACATGATTCAAAAAGGTGAAAGTTGAATCCGAAAAAAAANACAGTTGAACCGCAATCATATCTTACGTAACATTGAAATTAAAACGACTCTAATGATTTATTAACCAGTGTTAACGGATGAACATTTTGCTATTCGTCTGGCAGTTGGATAATATGTATTGCTCATTCACGTGTTCGGAACAGAAACGTTATCGGTCGAAATAAGCACAGTACGAAGAAGACAACTGCGATTGCATTTTATTGTTGACTTGATTAGATCAGTGATTAGTAACATTTTATTGTTAGTTCACGTGGACGCAAAATTTACTAAAGCAGCTAGAAATTCTCGTTGAACGCTGCTCATAAATAAAAGGGAACAGTGAAATGTAACAACAAATTTTAGGTATCTTATTATCAAGCGGCTGAACTGTGTCTTCTCGACTGGTCAGCAACGGCTGCATACAGCCTAACTTTAGCCGTTCTCATCGTCTTTCCATCTCTTTCGGCCATTTTGTTCACTTATTGTGCTATCTTCTCGGCAATGCGCAATACTGAAACGGTTCGTTCGTTCGTTTTAATACGTGCACTATCATCAATCTATCTCAGTTCTATATTCCGATTGTTCGATCATAAAACAAGAGATTGATGCATCGACGTTCACAAATCAATCGAACATTTCAGCTGGAAGACAGTCAACGAGCTTTACTGGAAACAGATCATAATTTTGCAGTGGCATTTTTTGTGTTGATTTCGTTTTGTTTATCGTGGTTACCAGTGATCGTGGTGCGTGTATTGCCTGAAACGGTATTGAGTGGTGCAGACTCAGCAACGGTTAATTTTGTATTTGTTTGGTTGGCTATCGGAGGTCCATCCTCTAAATTGCTCATATCACTGTTCATCAATCGTGAATTCCGTTCCGCACTCGCATCGCTGATTCTCTCTTTATGTCCCTGTTGTTCGTTCTCATCCAGTGAACATAGGCGTCAACAATATAGGAATCTATCAGCTGAACGAACGATTCCTTTCAGTTGATTTCGTCCGTCTTTCATTCGCATTTGTAGTTGTTATGGTACAGTATTATTATGTTATAGTATTATAGTACTGTATTGTGATATATTATAGCGGATTATCCACTTCGTTGTGTAATAATGTTGTCTATTATATAATAGCTATGCGATTTTGCATTCTCGAATGTGTACCTTATTCAGCTGCATAATGCATAATAACTATTTAATGATACTGGCGTTGCCAGCAGGAAGCGACCACCTCCAATAAACAACACCATGCCGACAGATTACTCGGAGGTGGTCATGCGATAATACATCCACCCACAATATGGATGACGTGCACAGTCGCCATTCAAATAGAATGATCCTTTGCGATTTTAATGCAGCATCCATAAAGCAAGATTGCTTTCAGTTCAGCATTTAGTCAGGACCAAATTCAGGCATGATATCATATTGGAACATGCTTTTCATCGAATAATTCAAATCGCAGCAGTTTGAAGTGTTCCTTTGGGGTTTTGGAGCATTAAAACATAATGGTCGAAAGAATAGTATACAGTGGCGTACCCAAGTACGGGGCGCAGGGGCCCTGACCCCTCCCGCTCTTGAAGGGTGGAAGAAAAGGTAAAAGAGAAGGAAAGGATGAAGCGAATGGAAAGGATAAGGAGAGAAGAACGGATGGAAGGGAGAAGGAAGAAAAAATAAACACGCAAAAATCCGTCTCAAAATTCAACCGCTTTTCTGGGCCGTACCACTTTGCGATTCTCTTCCTCCCTCGAAAAAGTCTTGGCTATGCCACTAGAAAATTGTATAATACAAAAGAAGCAGTGGAACTGAAGGTAATGCAAATGTTCCAATGCATCACCTACCAGTTTATGGCTCCCCTCATGTTCTTTGCATTAGACTTACGCCAGTTGAGAGAGCATCACCTGGCTGAATAAAATCATCGCACAGTGGACGGTGCACGATCAGAACTAGAAACCGAATTAAGAATTGCTCTTTTGTATACCTCGTTCGCGTTATTTTTTCATCGTCAAGCATGTAAATGGTCCAAAAAGATCGATCGAGGCCTAATTGTAGTGCACTTGTGAGCAATTAATACCCTTCAAAAAGTTGCTCATCACCGTTTGAACGTAAATGTTATTTGAATTAGCGTCAGATAATACTAAAGTGTTCAATTAGTCTTATCGTCTCATACAGACTTACAGTTCGAGCGTTTGAATGAAACAACAACTAAATCTTTGGTAACGAAAGCAACGTTAGCTGAGCATGAACAAGAATGAATGATTTTATGTATGGTAAATTTTCTCTATATTTATATACCTATATGAAAATGTACCTGTTACGTTCGTTTTGATCAGTTTGCTATAAGTTTTAAATGTTGAATTCAAAATGTGATTGAATATGATAATGCAGTCATCATTATCATCGTCATTACCGTTATCATTTTTCACCAATTCACTTCCGTATTTTCGACTGCCCAATAGGAATTCGTTTCTCATTATTCACTCATTCATTGCTCTATTGTTCTATCGTTTTATCACATTTCACACCAAAGTGCTACACTGCATTTTGTACTTCTTCTTTATTATTCTCGTTTTATTTAATTTGTTCGAATGAATATTTCCAAAACTGACTGCACACAAATCACTTGATTGTGATCAATCACTGCAATCGTATCAGATAATAAAGACTGACTATAAAGTGAATGAGTACTGCACTGAACCGATAAGGTTTACCGACCGAACACTGTATTAGTGACCATCAATAAGGCAACTTTCGAGCACCAATTGGTTCCGGTCGGTGGTCACCGATCAAAAGCTCGATGCCACTGACGCCACTCTAGAAGTAAATTGTATAACGGTTATTTCCCAGGATTTTCATCCATTCATGTTAACCTTGAGTGTTACCAACAGATTTTTATGGACCAACAGGTAATGATAAGTGC